CCTTTATGGCTGACAATGAATCAGTAAAAATGATTGCTTCGTGACTATATTTATCCACCCATCTCAGTGCTTGTAGAACTGCTATGAGTTCTGCTGCAAAAACTGATATATAATCACGAAGCCTGAATACATCGGAGATACTATAATCAGGGATCCAGAAAGCTCCAGCATCAGTGATCATGGCCGAATCCTTGGAGACGTCTTTATGAATGTGTGTAAAATCATAGCATAGTCCTGGCTTAAGAAGAAGCCAAGGAGCAGTTTCAGAAGGTGTAGATGGATTTACTGGATTCAAGTGAACAACTCCATGTTGTGCTGCTAATTTCAGAATGTTTAAACCAAACGGAATCTTGCCATGAGACCAGTCACACATGACATACTCCACACAGTCATTAAGTACACCCGTCACTGAATTGTAGCTAGTAACGTTAGAGTGACATAAGTTGCCTCCCTTGTGTAAGGTAAGTTGGTTGTATACACAATCACACCAGGTGGCAGTATAAGATAGCCGTGTGTAACGGTAGAGTGACAAGAATTTCCTCATTTGTGTAAGGTAGGTATATTTTTCTCAGTGTGGCGATGGAGTTCAAAATGTTCCATACACAAACGCCGGAATCTCTGTTTTTAATATTCAGCAGTGTTCTGACGTGGCGTGGCCTGTGTTTTAGCCAGCGATAGTACAGAACAGTATAATGTAAGGTTTTTATGTTATATATACAGTATACCCTGGTTATAATGCCATCGTTTGTCCGGGGGAAATTGTGGCATTATATCCAGGGTAGCATTATCACCTGGTAGGACAGGTACGGCATTGTCTATGAAATCAGCAGGGTGATTAAGCTGATGTCTCCTGTAATGAGACTTGAATGACTGGATAATCCCAGCGTCACGGGGCTGCTGGTGACTTTTTGTTGTAGGTTGCAGGAAGCGTATTGTCGGAGTCGCCATGATTCCTTCATAGTAAACTGGGGGTGAACATGTCTACTTTAAGCACTTAATGAGTTTGGTCAATTAATCTGTGTCATGTCAGCTAACCAATTAGGATATGTACAGTTGTACCAGTTTATTTTAAGGGCAGGAAATCCGTTCTGTCGAAAACAGTGTTAAACCAGCTGAGGGCAATAAAACATTGTGCCCTTCAGTGGTGATCAAGTCCAAAAATACCCCATACGCCAATACCAGGGGATTTCAATATTCAGTTGTGTTTTCATGTGATGTGGAGGAAAAAAACACCACGACACTTTGTTTAAGCAGTTGGTAACCACCTCTGTACAATGGATTTATGTGAGTGAAGGGTCCGTGACGACCCACCAGGATCTGGAACAATAGAAGGAAGAAACCGATAGTGTATGTTGCTTAGTGCTCGCACTGTTTGTAAGATTATAACTCTAGGATATTGCGTGTGATATCCATTTCGCTCGTTCGGTACTAAGATGTTTTGGCGTCACGAAACATGCCTTGAACTGATTGAGATGTTGTGACTTGTACCCAGTCATGCCTAGGATGCTCTCTGTTGGACAGGAACACAGAGTGAGCTAGACCATTTGGTTTAAACATATTAGGTCACAGCAGACGAGTCGCAGGCGGGAATGAACGATTTGAGCAAAACGGCTTCCATAGTTTAGATTGAAACATATACGAGGTGGATTAATAGTCCTCAGCCGTCTTTTAGAACTGGGCAATGACTCTAATTGAGTACGATGTTGGGGTAAGTTGTTCCATAGTTTAATAGTATCGGGTAAAAACGAGTTTTCGTAATTACTTGTTCTGCAATTAATAGTTTCAATATTATTACGATTTCTCAGGTTGTATTGGTTTGAATCAGATACACAAGGAGGGACAAGACTGGTTAGATAGTCAGGCGTTAAGTTATTTACCATTTTGTAGAACAAATTTAATTTATTATTATTTCTTCTCATCCTTAAAGGCTGGATATTTGTTTCGTGGTATAATTTGTAATGGCTAGTTCCGCGTACCGCTCCACATATTGTTCGTATAGCATCTAGGTTTAATTTTTCTAGAAATTCAGGTTACTCTTTAGTGCAGTTGTCCCAGATGTGACCACATTAGTCAAACAAGGGTAATATATACTGTTTATACATAATTTCAAGGGTTTTACGATTAAGACGGTATTTGTATTTCCGTAAGCAATTTATCATTGGGCTTACTTTTTCTTCGACATCAGTAATGTGTTTGCTCCAAGTGCAATCGCTCTGCAGAGCCCTAAATGTTTATGACTTTCGACTTCACAGGTAACAGTATTATTCATAAAAAGTGGTAGTTAAGAGCTCGGATATTTTTTTCTAGACCATTTCGCAAGGAATCATTTGAAGATACTCAGCAACAAAACTATCAGTGTTATACTTTAAAGCAGTCTTCTTGAATTGGTGTGTACGTGCGCGCGTGCGTGTGTGTAAATATATCAATTGATACATGAATACACTTCGGACCGTATTACTTGACTTCAATCTTGATAAATCATGTAACTTTTTCAACACTTTTCCCATAAACTATAAGATTAATGTATCGATGTATTGGGATGTAAATTGATTGCATGGTACGTTTTGGTTTTGTCATGTGCGGGGTGGACGGAAAAAAGTCATAGAAAAAAAGTCATGGAAAAAAAGTCATAGGGAAAAAAGTCATAGGAAAAATAACTATTATAAAACATCATGTTCTCCAGTTATTTACTTTGTGTTTATACTGTATTTAATGTATTTCACTTTTATCTTCAATAATATAAACATCCTGTTCTCCAGTTATTTGTAAAAAACTAACTGTTATAAAAACGTCCTGTTCTCCATTACTTTGTTTATACTACTTCACTTTCAAGTTAATTATTCCTTTCAGTGTGATGCTGTAAGCAATTGGATCTTATCAAAACAGGAGAAATGAACATATTATTATTTGTTTAGTTCTTAAAGGATTATGGGATTAAAAGTCACAAGTCTCTCATGTGATTGTTTGTTTAACTTTTAACTTGCTTTGAGCTTGACGATATAAATTCGGTTAAATAAAATATGCTAAGACTGATGTAGTGCTGTTGCAGATGATAGTGTTATGATGATAGTGCATTTTCTGATGTCATGTATTTTACTTGAATGAATTCATTAATTTTATAAGTTAGGTTCAAATGTGGTAGTGCTGTTGATGACAATATTGTTATGACTTGTTAAATAAATATATTATCAATACTGACCTTTTTTGAGTTTATGACTTTTTTCCTATGACTATTTTTCCTACCCAAATCTATGACTTTTTTCCTACAACCTTGTGCGGTACGGTGTGGTACGTTACGTTACAGGACTGTACATTGTTAGGTATTCAGATTATATTTTGTACTTACACCAGCTGGCAGTATAGAAGTGTTGTGTTTTGCTGTAAGATGACATCAGTTGTCTCCCCAGTGTATTACATTGTATTTCAAAGACAATCATTTTGTATGTAGCATACTAGTAGTGCATTACACCATGGAGACGTCGTTGTGGGTTATAAAACGAAATAGGATATAATAGGACCATACAGCTTCATTGTATTCACTCCTGTCAAAACACCTGCCGTTGTTGCGTCACATACAGCTGTTGATGCTGTTCACATCTATGCCACACATGCAGCAGTAACCATAACCTGTCTTGGACAGCCCTTCTACCACTGGTGTTCCTGTATCGGTCACAGGGCATGCCATGCTGCCGGCACTGATATCTATAAGATTTGATATGATGCATTGAGACCGAAAAGTTCCCTGTTCCAACCCTGTGCTTAAGGCGTTGTATTTTCGTTGATCGTGGTACGATTTCGAAGTTGAATAGTTGCTTTTTGGAATCCCAAAGTTGTGCAGTGCAATTGATGATATACAATATGTGTGAATGAGTGAGTTTAGTTTAACGCCACACTCAGCAATATTCTAGCTATATGGCAGCGGTCTGTAAATAATCAAGTCTGGACCAAACAATCAAGGGATCAACAGCAGGGCATCGATCTACGCAATTGGGTTACAATGACATGTGTCAACCAAGTCAGCGAGCCTGACCACCCGATCCCGTTAGTATATACAAGTATATGAAGAACATTCAGGTACATCTGTCTGTGTCTGTGACCAAAAGAACCCTATTTTTATGCAGACTAGGTGTTATCGGAAACGCTTTCTGCGTTTCCCCTTCCAATTATCATCATCACAGTGATCCATTTGTATATCTGTTTCATTGAATTAAAACATTATTATTCCTGGAAATTCTCCCAACTGTGAAAAGAGATGGGACTTAGTTCGGTATGCGAAAATGTAAAGGAAATCGAATCAACACAAATTTGTATCTTTCTATCTATTGTCATAGTTTGAATAAGATCGCAACAAGGCAAAGGACAGCCACTCACAGTCACACTCGTTCACTGCCAGTGCATTGAATGTCTGGGTGCGAGTTTCCTTCGCGGGAGGTTGGTCATTTGTTGCCAAGGCTCACTGAACAAAAACATTTGGTGAAATGCATATGTTTATATTGCTTAATCAGCCATTAATTATGTTGTGGAACAAGATAGTTGACATTTTGTTGAGAGATGAAGTAGTTACAAGTTATATTGACATTGCAGTGGACATATCGCTTTTCTCAAACTCAAAAATTCTCAGTCGTTTACAGTTAAGTATGAAATTAGAACGTATAGTATTCCTTTGTCTTCCTTTTCAAATTTTCTCAAACTCGGAAATCTCAGTCTTTCATACTTGATAATGTAATAATTACGAATACCATTCCTATGTCTTCCTTTTCCACTTTTTTCAAACGCAGAAATCTCAGTTTTTCACGCGTAAGTATGTGATAAATATGTATGCCATTCCAATATCTTCCCTTTCATGATGATCGCTGCTGGTGATTGTACTACCGCCTTTAAGTTTTATGTTATGCAATGTTGTATGTAGAAATGACTAATTTATTACAACCTCTTGCTTGTGTTATATAAGAGCTTATAAATTTTAATCTCTGTATCCATCTCTATTTATACGCAGATCAGGATCCGGAAAAAACCTGTTGGCATGGCGGAACGATGGGAGGACACATATTTTCTCTCTTTAAAAGAAAGTAATGATTTTCTTATTTGCTTTCTCACCTAATTATGTCAAATGTTCTTTATTTGCCTTTTACATTAAATAAAGTATCTAGATGGAGACCCAGTTTTGAACTTATCTAAACTGACGGGCAAAAGTTAGTATAACGTTTTCAATTTGGTTTGGGGAAATTGAGCATGTCTAAATTCCAATGAAACATCCAAAGCAAACATTGTCAAAGTCACGAGAATATTGCAGAATGGTAGTGATGTCAGTAGATGTAGTCACGTGACCCCTAGCACGAGAAAAAGGTATAACATGTAATCTTTGAAAATCACGAACATGCACGTGCACCAGTCGGGTAGAAATGGGATGGATACACGCTGGCATATCACAGTAACTGAAAGCACATGCAAAAATGCCGAAGCTGACACAAATTCAGCGAGAGCGAGCCATTGGAATGCGCGATATGGGAGCTACCCAAGCTCATCTTGCCAGAACGTTCGGCTGTACCCCAGCAACAATCTCCAGGCTGTTCACACGTTACCGGAATACTGGTAGCACTCAAGACAGGCCGAGAAGTGGACGGCCACGGGTCACTACACCGATAGAAGACCGCTACATCCGGACTATCCATCTCCGGAACAGGTTCGTGACGGCAACGTCGACGGCGGCTACGGCACTCGGGCATCGTATCAGTCGTCGCACAGTGACCCGAAGATTGAGATTAACTGGTATAAGGGCTTACCGGCCTTTCCGCGGAATGGTCCTGACCCTCAGACATCCCCAAAACAGACAGCGGTGGGCAAGGCAAGTTTACAGGTGGCAAGTCCGAGATTGGCGACGTGTTCTCTTTTCCGATGAAAGCCGTTTCAACCTTTACAAGTGTGATGGCAAAGAACGGGTATATCGTCGACGAGGGAACGTTTATCAAGGCCATGCATCAGAGAAGTTCATCCATTCGGCGGGGTGGAGTCATGGTTTGGGGCGGTATCTGTGGAGACCAGAAGACCCGTCTGGTTGTAGTGCAGGGCAATCTCAATGCACGGGGTACATCGGACAGATCCTACAGCCAGTTGTGGTACCCTTCCTACAGAATCAACCCGGGGTGTACTCCTACAACATGACAACGCGAGACCTCACACTGCCAGAGAGACTCGCTACTTTCTGCAACAGAACAATGTTGACGTCCTGCCCTGGCCAGCGTGCTCACCGGATATGAACCCGATCGAGCACCTCTGGGATCATCTGGACAGGAAAATCAGAGGTCGGCAACAAGTTCCACAGAACAGGCAACAGCTAGAGCAAGCACTCAGAGAGGAATGGAACCGCATTCCCAATGACGTCATTCGACGTTTGACGACGTCAATGAGGAGACGTGTGAGGGCATGCATTGACGCAGCAGGGGGTCACACACGATACTGATGTGCACAAGATCCTGTATTGAAGGAATGCCCCTGCTACTGACTCATAAACTCAGATTGTGATAATCGATTTATGCAAAATTCCACCCCTTGCGTGTTTACTTGACAGCGGCTCACAAACTCCTTGAATGAAATTGTTGATTTTTTGTGATTTACAGCTCAAGTGTTTTTTTATTATGATGCATTAAATATTTTTGGGAAATTTCGGTGTATGTCTTTGTTACAGGACGTTCAAAACGTCATATACTAACTTTTGCCCGTCAGTTTATATTTAAAAAGACATTGTTACATTAAAAGTACAGTCTCTATGAAAAATGGCAACAGTTGCTTTTCATGGACGTTCTTTCATTATTTTCTATAGGTGCAGACATCAAAGTACATGTACATCTTACAGGTGAAAAAGGTGAGGATGCTTCTAATCTGTAATTTATGATTACGTGGATACTAATTTCTTTTCCTCCTTTTCTTGCTATATCTGCAAATATAAAGAGAAGGCGGTTCTTCAGCACTATTGGAAACATTCATGGGCGTTGCAACATATAATATTTTCTTCGGTGGAGTGCATCTATACTACCAGTTGTGGTGACTGGGTCAGATTGCAGACTTTGTGTGCTGGCGATTAGGTGCCTTGCGCTGAGAGAGTGGGTTCGAATCCCAGATGGGACTCAACTCTAAAAAAGTGTTAGAATCTGAAAATAACAGAAAATTGTAATCCGAAATAAAACATATTTTGCAGCTGACCACTTTCTAAAAGTTCATGCTTGAGCGTTGTCTTCATATAATGAAGCAAATGTTATTGTTCTTCATTCAATATTGTTCACAGTTACGCTGTACTCAAGTGACTCGAATGTGGTGGGGGTCGATTTCCACGATCCCAGTCCATGGCACCTTAGAACAACATGGACATGTGCGCCTGATCCTGACAAAAACTATCTCCATCTCAGCAATACGGAGCTCTGGACGCAACTGTGTGCATTAAAGGACAAGGTTGATACTGGTCATGGGCATTTGATGACCATGAATGGACATTTGGTATTTGTGTTTGGACATGACACAGATAATGATGCTGGACTAATGGTTGCTGAAAAGGCTAACATAAACAAGGTCCTTCTGGCATTTTTGAAAAAGATTGACAACGAAGTGAAAGATATAAAGCTGACATGTACAGTAGACTGGGATGCGACTCAGGTCACAGGTATGCTGAGAGAGACACTGTCGCATTTGGTTTAACATTTTGCGAACACTTTGCATCACTAACACTGATTCAGATAAGTTCCATCACATAGTCGAAGTCGTACATAAGGCTCTGCTGGATTTTATGTAGCTGTGGAAAGTTTCACTTCAGATTCTAGACGTACTTTTTCCAAAGCAAACACAAAAATCGCAACCACATATACTTGCCACTATACCCCACGACAACATGCAGTGTGTCATAATTAAATGTAACTTTGTTTTTAAGGAAAGGACTCCAGCACTGAAATCACTGACAAGAGCAAGGAACAGGAGGAGTCATTTGTAACCAGGACACAAAGTGAACAGGAACTTTCTGAAGGTATGTCTCCGACACCTTCACACGGGTTGTTGTCTCTTGTTTTGTTTGTAACCTCTGGGCTTCTGTCCAACAGTTGTAATTGAAAAATATAATTGCAAGCTCGAAGGGCTCCATGGTCCTTTTGGGGCGTTTCCCGAAAGAACTTCATTGGCCATTTAGAACTTCCTTGATTTGCCTTTTTCCTTTTCTGCAAGATTTGCAATTAAACGGTTATCCTCTCAATAGTCAAATTTCAAACCCTTTTCACATCTCTGCGCTAACAGTAGAGTCGATTGTAAAATTCCGACTAGACAATTCAGTGACTGATTTCATATGATATGTTTTCAGAGCAAATAGTGATATTTCTTTCAAAGTGGTAAATGGTACGTCTTGCATGGATACTGTCACTTCCAGTAATGGGAAAGGCTTCCTTCATTAACTTTAAAATGGAATTATCATCATGCTGGCATAGATAGAAACGGTTGTGTACTCTAGTTTGGATAATGGCACATGTCTTTTTTACAACAGATGCCGACTAGGTATGTATCTTATCACCAAACGGTAATACTTTTAACATCGACCATAGAATAAAAAAAATATCAGCAAACTACCTAAATACACATTGGGTACTTTCATTGTGCCCTGAAATGCAACCGAGGTCGCGGGGTCATGTAGCCTCGAAATATACTCAAGTAAGTTTATTGGGTATCCCATCTGCTCAAATACTCGTGCTTTCAGGAAATCCGTGGAAAAAATGTATAAAACGTGAATCGTTGTCAGCCAAATCATTGTTTAGACGTCGACGGGTCCGTAAAACACAAATTTGGAAGAATCTGCTTGCATTTCTCTATACCATGGCTAACTGATAGTGAAAAGATAGTGAGCCATTGAATGCTTGAAACGGGAACACCCCAGTGCAACGTTGCACAGCAGTTAAACGTGCACAAGAACACCATATGCCGCTTGTGCAGACGTTATCAACAAAACGCCGTCGTTGCAGACCATCCCCAAAGTGGCCATCCATTTGTAACCACGGCACGCAACGATCGTTGGATTCGAACCACCCATCTGCGCCAAAGATTCCAACCAGCCACACTCACAGCCGAAATAGGTGTCAACCGGATATCGTAAAAAACGCATTTCTTTACCATTATTGAGATTTAGAACATGTAACCATAGTTTACCTATTGAGACGGGCCGCTGGTATAATATTCCCAGGGACGAGAGAACGTGTCAACTATGCACTTCTAAAAGCATCGCAGATGAATACCACTATATTTTTCATTGCAAAACATTAGATACTTTGAGGAAACAATATTTACCCTCCCATCTAACCTCTTTTCCCAATGAAACAAAGTTCACGAAAATAATATCTGTAAAAACATCTCGAGACATAGTAAATCTATCAAAATATATCCTACATCTATCATCTCTTGTCAGAAAAAAATGTTAATATGTTGTTTACTTCCATCTTGAATTTGAATTTGTATATATGTTTGCAATATATGCTCCTGTACCACCAAGGTGGTTTATGAGAATATAGAATTGAATTGACAGCCCAAATAGGTGTCAACCGGATCTCGTCAAGGAAGCACACGTGACACGTCCTGCCAGGCGACAAATTTGGACATTACGTCACAAACATCTACGACTGCAGTGGTGCAGATGTTACACCCCTCGCGTTGGGAATGGAGAATGGTGCTACCTTTTTTATTTACGCCACACCTACCAGTGATAGCCATCACTGAATGTAAACAAACGACTAACCCAAGTTTACTCATGGGCGCAGCCATCTTGGAATTACCTGCAACCTAGCGAGAAGGGAGACAATTCGATCCATGTTTATCTCACATAAGCGTGGTATTTACTAAACTAATTTAAAAATGGAATAAACTACAAATTCCATACACACAGCTATTTTGCAATTAGAATAGAACTTCTTTACAGCGACAATAATACTGAATGGCATAAAGAAATACCTTGACACTGACATGATCTTGACTGGTCACAGTGCCTGCAGACCCAATACGTCATGACCTACTATTAAAACACTTAAGTAGTAGATACAATGATAGTCCGGGACCAAGTCCAACAAAAAGCCTCTGCAAAGCCTTATTTCACAAATAAAGCTTTTGTTAGGCCCTTAGATCTCACCAACCATTGTCTACTACTTTTTAACCCCCAGTTAACTTCCCGACCCCACGTGACACTACTGTGCCGCTATGACGTGTTGACAGGAGGTAACATTGTGCCGAACGGTATGATCAATAATTGCTGTCTAACGAACCCTCTCCCTGGCCCATCTCTCAAGTAGTACAAGTTCGGCTCGTCGGCTTTGATGTCCACTTTATCTATATTGTAAGTTTTGACTGACCATATCGGATCGGTGGCTCGCTTACGACTATCACCCTTGTGTTACCCCGGCTGGTATAGGTACCTCACGAGGGCCCTATCTGGTATCTGTTTCTCTTTCCCACGCAATGGCGCAGCCGATTCTGCCACTATTGATTTTAGTTTGATAGCGTCGGCTGGTTTCTTGCCAGTGAGACAGGTGATTTCGTGGTTGATGGCTGACACCACCTGAGGTAGCCGCGCTACCCATTCAGTCGATCGTTTCCCCGGGTTGGTCATCTCTCTCTCGCATACTGATGCCCAAATAAGCGCTCTGCCAAAGTCCTATTGAATCTCTCAACTATGGCTTGGCTGCGATGAGCCCCGGCAGCACCACGCCTGACCTTGGTATCATGTTTGTCTAGCAGGTGTGACACGGCACCCATGAACTCCCGTCCGGGGTCGACTTGCAGCTCTGGGGGCCACGTCAGCGGACTGCGTTTGTACATGCGTTCGAATCCGCGGGCTACCTGGGTCGAGTCTTTCGCGGTCAAGGGTTCGGCTTCCTTGTAGCGACTGGCAACGTCCACGACGGTTAGGGCATACTTGTACCTCTTGTCGTGGGGTAGGAATAGGAGGTCGGCCTGGTGAATGCTATTAGGTATGTTAATACCGAACTTCCTTCTAGGCACATAGCGTGGTGCCGGTAAATAGATCTGCCACAGGGCTTGTTTTTCAAGCCACGCTTTGGCCTCGTTTGGGGGTACTCGCGCCATTTTAGCCAGCTTATGTACGGCGCTAGCTCCTTTCCAGTACCCACGCGGGCTGTAGTAAATAGCCTCAAACTTTCTTGGGTTCCTTGACATGTCGCCCCGATATATATACACCTATGTTCTTGGTTCAATTTTCTCATGCCCGTACGCGTACGTGTTGATCCCATCAATAGCTATCCAACGCTTAGTTTCCATCGGCGACAGGGACGTCTTGTTTATAGTCAGTCCGTATATCCTATGCCCATCACTTCTAAGCGTGTTTATTTTATGTCTAAAGGTACGGGTCTTGAACAGGGCTTCCTTGAATCCGGCGTGTTTGATGTGTTGTTTCACCACGTATTTCTTAACACCCTTCGCCTTCCGGATCTCACCATTGTCGGCCTTCAGGATGGAGTACATCTTGGGTCTCAAGCCTATGTACTCGGCTATGGGCGTGCCAGCACACTCGTCCTTCATCTTACCTAGGACCTTTTTATTTACCGTGCTGTGTATGGCATGGTCCTTGGGGTAGTCGCTGGTGTCATACAAATCGAGGCGTTTTTTCATGTCCTCGTACACGTCCTCGGTTCGAATCTCCATTAGCAGGGAATCCGTGTCAGTGTACAGCACTTCACGTCTGTCGCCGTACTGTTTTTTCAGTTCGTTGTAGTAAAAGTCGTACATCAGGTGTTTGGATAAATCGAGGATGCTCATCCCCACATAAACAGGCCGGTTGAATTTGATGTGGCTTTTCTTCATGTGTAGGGCAATCAGGTCGTCGGTGAATATCTTGCTCCGGTTGAATGCCGGGCTGGCTATCAGTCTCCTGAGCTTGTCTTCCTCATTCGACTGAACCAGCTTCACGGTCACGCTTTTCCTCAGGTTCTCCATAGTCTTACCGAACACCGAGATGTTCATGAGCTTGTAGAGGTTTTTCTCAAAGTCACTGGTGGCCAGCTTTTGCAGGTCCGTGTTCATTCTGATGTAAGGCTCCATCCAGGGGCTCTGGTTGAACACGAGCACCCTGTGTATTTTGGTCAGCCTCATACCCAATGACAGGTACAGCTGTAGGTTGCGATAGTGAACGATGTACTTGGTCTTATTCATTAAGTTGGGCACTAGTTTTTCAACGTCTGCCACCCGCCCACCTAACAAGTTATGTTGGTACTCAGACATCCAGTCTGGGTTAACCCTCATACGTTCGGGGGCCAGGGGGTAGATGTTGTGCGATGTGTGTAATGCCTTGGGGTATTCCAAGTCCACCTCGAGGATATAGCCTTTGCTCGAATCGTCCACGATGCTCATAACATCGATCTCGTGCGATGCCCATTCGAATCCCCCTGTGGGTAGATACTGGCTCATGGCCCCGCCGTACAGGTTGTTGGCGTCGAGGTAGAGAATATGATTGGTTGGCTTGCTCGGGTCGTAGCCCTTCACGTATTGATTATTTGCTTTCTCGTATCCTTTGGTAGCGATGGAAATCCCACCTCGCAAGGTTGCTGTCGACTTTCGCAATGGCCTGCATGATTAAGTGAGAGTCGTACCCTCTCAAGTTGTGGAAGACCACGGGGATGTTTATTGTCTTGGGGGTGATTCTAAGCTTGAGGTTACACACTCTGTGAGCGGCGCCTCTATACTTACCGGTGATGTGGCAGTGATCTCTCACCGAATCACCGTTCAGTGGTAAGTCACACACGTGGCAGTGAGTGCTGCAGGCGTGAGCTAGCCGGTCGGCTTGAGTCATACGCATGGGAGCGACTGTGTATAGTGCAATCCTGATAGTTTTTTCTTCCTCCTGCAAACACTTTAGAAACCTTTCAGCTGCGTCGGGACCCCTATACACTACCGGAGCTTTCGTTTCCCCATCACATCGGACGACCACGTATCCAAACCCACAGGCATCATGCTCCTGTGTTTTTTGTGTGCCTGGGGTACCCC